AAATTATTGAAAATGCTCAAATTTGCAGGTTTTCATAATTTTTGGCCTATAACTGTATTATATCTAAAAATTTTTTATATTTTTTATGCATCAATCAATTTCAATATTTAATCTCCATTATTTAATCCTAAAATTAAAAATAGTGTTGAAGAAGTATTATATATATATTTTATTTCTTAAAATCGTAATTTTTATAAAATCAATAATTATAACTTTCTTCGATTAAGCAGAATAATAATAATTATTTTGATAAACAATAAAAATTCGTTTTTTTATATTTTATTTTTCCGTTAAAACTCGAAAACTTTCTTAATTATTTGATAAAAAAAGAATCTATTTAATATCTAATTTCGATCAATAATAGAAATATCCATTTTTAAAATTCCTCTCGAATTAAGGTTTCCATAAAGGCTTCTTTGTGCTCCCACGTATTTGTTATCGCTGCTTACCCTTTGTGAATACAAAAGATTCAATTATTTACAAGAGATTCGATAAGTTAAATATCCAAACAATTCTTTGTAATAAGATGTTTCACAGAACAAATTTTACTTTGTAATACGCGAAGCGAAATATGAGAAAGATATTGCAAAAATGGAATGATGGAAAATAATATTTATATAATGAAAGTTAAGAAGTTTGTTATTTTATATTTTCATACTGGTTCTTTGAAGGAACAGAAGAAATTCTAATAAGATGCAAGATACCGATTTTATAATGACGTAATGAAAAAGAAGTGTTTCATAAAATATGATACAATTATATAGGATTTATGTTCGCACGGAAGAATAAAAATGAAAAATATAAGATACGATTTTGAAAAACTGAGATCAGATTTGAGAAAATTAAATAAAAGATTTATAATCTTAAATTTGAATTTTAGATATTTTTATTTTATAAAAAAGAAATTAATAAAAATATTAAAACAACCGTATTCAAAAAAAAAAATAAAAACTCGAAATACCAAAATGATAATTCAGATATAAAAATATTTTGCTTCTTATAAATGCTATATTTTTCAAATTAATTAAAATAATGAATTTATCTTGAAAATTACTGATCAAGGAATAGAAATTGCAAAGAATCAAAAGTTGACAGGATGTTGACTTGATATAATTGATCTTCAGTTGTAATTATATATTCGATTGAGAATATAACATATTAAAAAATTATCCTATCCTAAAATATTCGAGAAGTCTTTTTTATTTTATTATTTTTTTAAATACATTCTATTTTTTTAAAATAATTTCTTATATAATAACATAAAATAAATAAGTAAATAAATAAGTTGAAATGAAATAGTGTCGAAATTCCCAAAGCGTTTATATTTGCGTACGTATCCTTTTAAGAAAAATAATTAAATTTTCGATTCGTCTTTGTAAACCATATTTAAATAATTCTTCATACTTTCATTTTTTTATATACGTTTTGTTAAAATAATTAATTTAACCACATTATACTTGTTTTAATTTTGTCGTACTTGTTTTAATTTTGTCGTGAGTTTATACAGACTCATTCATAAAACTATCTCTTCGATCTTTCTGGTCTGCGTGAATTAAAATAATTATATTTATTATTAACAGTATGAACTCCCAAACTTTCGAAGCCGCAAGAAGTTCATCGTAACATATTACCTTTGACGTCACTTTATTGCAAACATACCAAACATAATTATTCATGGTCTTTACATTAATCTTTGGCCAATGATCTTCCTTCAATATCGACAGTATCCACACTGTCAAAGAGAAACTTAAATGGATTTTGGACTAATCTTGTGAGATAGTTTCAGTTTATAGTTGCACAGAAAGCTCGTTATATAATTTAATACATTCTTTGAATATCATAAGGAAATATAAAGAATTTTAATTGATGGAATAATAATTAAATATTCGTATGAAAATAATATATTTTCATTATCTTCATTTTTAAAAAAAAAGAAAGAATCATATATATATAAGATTTCATAACATTAAATTCAATATAATAACATTATAAATAAAATACATAATATGAAAAATATTTTAAAATATAAGAATAAATGAAAAAAAATTGAAAATTCTTAAGTGCTTCTTATTAAACTAAAATTAACATGTCATTTGATCTTGATGAAGTTAATTACAAGTTAATTATTATGTTGAAATGCTTCTAAACAAGCTTCATACTTTGAAATTTTAACCAAAAACAATTGCATAAATCTGAGTAATTAAAATCTTTTATAAAATTTTTTATTTACTATAAAAAATTTAGTATGAAATAATTATAAAAAACAAAATAGAAATGTGATAAAAATAAATGCAAAATTACATTCTATCGATTATTAAATATAGATTTTTAATATATTCATGAAATATCTTTGAAGAGTCGATTGTAAAATAAAAATAAAAATTAATATATAAAAATGTTAGTTAACGTTTATTTATTAAATTATAATCAATTGATTCGCGTTAAATAAAATGAAACATGAGAAAAAATAGATAGTTTTAATTTCATCACATTCTGTTTTCATTTTATCTTAAATTGCTTATAATTTGATAAAAACTCAATCAAAATTCTTGTACATTAATTTTTGTATTCATTTTGATTTCTAAAATTAATCAATAAATATGCTAACATTCTGTAATTTTATTATTGGATTAAAATTAGGAAAGGATAGAACTACTTAAGACCTGTACTTATAAATATATTAAGATGAAATCTCAAATATTAAATATCTTAAATGTTCATAAGGGATGAAATCATTTCTTAAGATTTTTAAAAAAATTCTTTCCTGCAAAATTTTTTTTAATAAATTAGAATCTAGTACAATATTAATAGAATGAAAAATAATTAATACAGAAAATGGATAAAGTAACAAATTAATTATACAAATAGAACGTAATATTTATTTTCCTCATCATTGATATTTTTAAAAAAACGCATCTTAAAGAAAAAAATTAATAATTCTTGATCTAGATATCAATATAAAGATTTCATATAAAATCGAATGTAGTTTCCTTTTTATAAATCCTAAAGTTTCATAAGAACTAACTCCACAAATTTCACAAACATTCTCATCAAACCATCTAACATGAAACAACGAGATCATTCCATCCAGAATAACAAAGTAAACCATTAATTATCTCTGTCGTTCTGTACACTCTTAATCAACAATCTGATGAATACAAAAAAAGGGAAATATCATCCAACATGCTCTTAATCATACAGGTTGTAATAATTCGACGAGTGATACATTAAAAGACAACTCTATTATATTTCTATAAAATAAAATTCATTTAGAGCAAAAGATCAAGATATCTTTCGTTTTAATCGAATTTATCTCTTTTCATTGTTAAGAACAAAAGCCAAACATGATTTATGAAACGGTTATGATAGCTCTAATTTCTATTACTTTTGAATAGCTTTAGCATTCTGAATAGTTTTGACTTCCAATTTCTTAATAATAATTTACGATTGTTCCAGACTCTCAATAGTTCTAAATATAATAGCAGTGATTATTTCATAAATCACATTTATGCCAACCACCGAAAAAGCGATTGAAAATCATGGCTCTTATTCCAACACGGTCTCCAGGAGGATCCATTTTTGAAAACTATCTTTCCAATAGAATCATTAATTCTTTCCCTCTTAGTTACACTTTTATTAAGAATGTGAATTACTATTTATAAGAAAAATAAGTGCAACAAAATAATAGCACAAGTATAATCAAACAAATTACAGATTTTGTTGTTTGAGAATGGAATGATTTACGTATTTTCGTATGCTGAATCCGAATTTGACCGTAAAAATTATTTATCATGTTTTGATTGCTTTATGAAATTTAAATTTAAATATATAATTTTAGTATAGCAATAATGGATATGTAAAAATATTTATAAAGTACAAGTACGCAAACAATCATATATTCAAAATTACTATTGCATTGGTGAGGAGGATTTTTGCTGAAAGGAATTCGAGGTTAGCTATATTCCTATATCCACTTTCTAATTCTATGGATATAGATATAGATATAGATATAGATATAGATATAGAATACAGTATAATTTCTTAATTAAAAAAATTGTTTATATTACTCTATTCATATAATATTGCACGATGAGAAAAGCAAGCACGAAAACCTAATAACAAAAATATAGCAAAATATATAACAAGATATACATTCTACTTCTAAGCATTCTGAAATTTCTTAGAAAAGTGCTATATCTGAATACAAAGATCTGAAGACCTTATGATTATGTTAAAGTTGGAGCGCCACATAAAAGCTTCTAAAACTGCATACATAGACGAATACACAATCCCTGAAAACGTTGAATTTCAAACATTTGACCTATTATTGATTACCACTTAACTGTATTATATGTAATTACTCGATAAACAAACGAAAGTATATTTTATAATAATTAACTTCAATTAACAATCTATTGATTCATATTGTTCGACTAATTAGAATACAATATTTCTAAGCATGCTATTTCATGTTATCTCTATATATTGAGCCAATGTGCTCGAATGTATAGATTTTTATTTTTTCCTAGAATTAAAATATACAAATTTATACATTTAAATATAATAAATGATCATAAATTGTTATTAATTGTATTTAAGTAAATATAATTGAGATTGCTTTTGTTTCGACATGATTAATGGTTCGTAAGCAAATATGCAAATCTGAATGATAACATTTAGATAATTAGTTCAACTTGTGTAGATGTAACATCATAACCAGTTTATTTGCAGCTCAAAATAAAACGAGCACGGAAAAAGAATTTTGTTTGCCTTTACGTCGCTCCATAGAATTTCTTAGCAATGTTACAATATACGAATTAAAATTCGAATTCCTTTACTCTACATCTATATAGATGCATTTATATACACATGGAATAAAAATCTTTCTCCATCAATATCAATTCCAATTACACAGATAAATATTAATAAAATGCCACTTCGCTATTTCACGAAATTACACAACTTATGTAGGGAAAGAAAGATCGTCGAGATTAATTTTACCTGGGTGGCCGTGTAGGGCGAGTTTTTGCCGGGAAATCCTTGGAGGAAGCCGTCGACGTCTTGTGTGGCAACAGTGGTCAGGTTTAGAAGCAGGGTGTCTTCCGTGGTGATTGCGTCCTTCCCCTCCATACGAGACTAATCGGCAGCCCGGAGCATCCGAAGCGCCCCCCAAAGTCGACGGCTACGTCATGCTCCTTCTCTCCTCTCTCGACCATAGGATTCCAGGAAGGCTTGGTCCGTGCATGGAAATCTTCCCTCGATTCCACGATTCTACCTCAGCCGTTCGTTGCTACAGCTGGCACGATCCAACTCTCGCAAACCTGAAATCATGTTTCGATGATTGGTTTTATTGAAGAAGTGAGGTTGAAGATGGGTGGAAGAGAAATAGTTGGATAGATGCGTGAAGTATGAATGTATGAAGATGGTGTGTACTGTTCTTGGATGAGACTGGAATTCGATTATGGATTAGAAATTGGAATTTGTAACGATGTAGATGTATCGTAGGTGAAGTGAATTTAGTAAATGGATACATTATTTGAAAAGTTCAGATTGTTTCGAAAGGATTGATGTTACTTAGGAGTACTTTATGCATCGTGATTGATAATAAAAAATTTATGAGAAATAAGAAAATAGTCGCGTATATATAATCGAGGTTTTTTAAAGATTTTAAAATTATATTTTGTACACAGTTGAATGCCGAGTTATTCGATATTATTATGTAAAATTATTTATTATCAAATTAATTTAAGATGTACAGATTTTAATTACTAAATAGTTAATTGAAATAAAATGAAAATATATAATCGATGAAATCATTTCAAAAATTTTAAATTCCTTATATTTAAATAAATATGTTAAATGGATGTATTAATTTTATTTCTTTCTTATTTTTTTTTTTACGTTTGTTGAGAAAATAGTGCAAATTAATAAGAAAATGAGAGGTGAAATGAGAGCGTAATTAATTTTCAAGTTTAGCTAATTACGATTTTAATTGCTTTTACTGTTATTATTAAGCCACTTTCAGTTTGGAAATACATTGTTACAATACGAGTGCAAATATAAATTAAGAAGAGATGGGAGAGTAATATATTATGCTACCACATTGAGACGAAATTTGTATTCTCCTTTGAATTATTCGAATATTTGAAATTATTCAATATTATGTGCTGCCTTCGAGACAAAAACTTCATGATGACGATATTTAATAAACTTGAATGAATTTTTAAATGCAATTGGAAAACAAATGAAATATAAACATAACAAATAATAATATAGTTTCTTAATTACTTTCATCTTGAATTAATAATTCTTTAAGATTTATATTAATTTTCTTTTAAGATAAATATAATAATTGTTTTTAATTTAAAAAAACTTGAATAATTTTTTTATAATTTTTGTCTTAGAAAGTTATTCAAATATTTAAATATGTTATATATTTAGAAACCAAATCGAAAAATAAACTAAAAAAATTATATTAAAATAATAAAAAATATATAATAAAATTAAATTTATTAAACGTTAAATTTTTGCTAATAATACTTAAAAATGAAATGAAATGTTATACCATTCCTAAAAAATATATATATAATAATTATTGTATATTCGACGACACACAGTTGAACTTTGAGGTCGTGGTTAAGATTCTAAGATCTCAAATGGTTTATGACAAGTACTATATTTCATATTTCTTGGTGTGTTTATATTTCATTTTCGGAATCGTATTATTTTATAGATTTGATTGAAGTTGTGTTAGATTTGATGAAAAGGTTGGATGAAGTAATAACTGTAATTTCTGTTGGTGAAATTTTATATTATAAGTGTATATTAGTTTAGAGTTACATTACTTTGTGGCTCTTAGAGTAAACACTTGGATTAAATATTATAGTTATTATATGCAATAAAGTATCTTATACTACACATCAGTAACTACACATCAGTAACATCAGTAACAGATTTCTGACATTTTAAATTCTTTATTTATTTGTTATATTCTTTTAATTAAGTACATTAAATATTATAAATTTGATATGAATGTTAAAACGTTTTTATGGAACTTTAAATTTTCAATTATAATACTTTTTCTTGGCATTTTATGAAATTTTATAGTATAAATTACTAATATAAATTAATATAAAAGTTGTAGACGAAAAAATCTTACCGAAATTTTTTGAATTCTGTGACGAACGATTTCGAATCAGAGAGTTCATATTTTTCAACAAGGCGCTTTCTTTATTCCTTGTTCATTTCAATTTTCTGTGGATATGAAGTCTTAATTTCAAATTAACAATTAGAAATAATAATTTATAACTAAAAAAAAAATCTTTCTTTCTCTTAGTGTGGTAAATAATAACAGTTCTTGACAATAAATATTTTTTCATAATTACAAAAAAATTTTATATTTTTATATTAAGAAGGAAAAACAAATTATCCAAATTATATTTGAATTTAAAAGCATTCTAATTGAAATTTTGAAAATCTCAAAATAACAACTTGTTGAAAGAGATATGAATATACGAATTAAAAGCTTTGCGATAAAACGATTGCAATTATAAGTTCGATCGAAATTTGTTGAAATTATAAAATTATGTATGAAAAGTTTGGAGGCAAACATTTTCTCAAGATTTTTTATATTTTTCATGAATTACATGATTATAAATGAAATAATAAGTAATTTAATAACAAGATATTTAATTTTACGAATCAATAATTGAATCTATTATTTTATAATAAAAATAATATTGTTTTGTTAATTTATTTATTATTCAATATTTATTTTTATAAATTTTTTTGTGTTTTTGAATTGTTAGATATCGTGTACAAACAATTATATTATATTATATTATATTGTAAAGACTCTGATATAAGTGATGCTCGACAATAGTTTATAATAATAGAAATTCAGCTAAAATTCCGATAATCAAACATGAATATGTAAAATTTCGTTCGTATAATTAAAATTCAACATATAACAATTATATATTAAAATCTATATACTGTATATTTATCTGTAAACGTATATATTTAAATGTTCAATTACTTATGAATATATATAAATAAAATAAAAATATAAATGATAGAATAAACTAGATAAATATTATTTCTAAGAAAATATTATTTCTAAACTTTATTTTTATTCTTTTTTATAAATATATTTCTGATTTAAAATATCAATATCTTATGTTACGTTAGCTTTTATGAAATAGAGATACTAACATTTAAAAGTATGATAAAAAAAAAAATTTTAATAATTCCTGATCCAGAAATTTCTGTTTCATTTTTTTTTCTAATACAAAAAAAAGAAAATCAAAGTTTTTAAATTATTATTATAGAATATACAATTGCTTATAAATAAAGTTTAATTATATCTTTATAAAAATATAACTTTGGCATTTTTTAATTCACTTTATGCAGATTAAATTGATAAAATTTACGAAATCGCTAGTAGAACTAAATCCTTTTAACCTATTATCCATTACTTTGAAACAAGAAGCAGAACGGTTCGATTTGGTTTCATTGTCTAATCGGACCCTAAGTTGAATAGTAGTCTGAAAGTCTCTGGAATCACTGGTGTTGCGCTACATTAGTCTCATTAATTCCAGAACACATCCTGATAGTTAAATTCGATCGCGGTCCACTTGACCTTGAATTTATCTCTAATTTAAAGGATGCTTCCAACACCGGATTCCATAATGGCGGTGCCCGCTACCATTTTCACCAAATGGAGGGAACATGTATCGAAAATTGGAAACTGATGAAATTCAAATAAAACAAATATAATATATGTATATTGACGAATAATTCCCCTGGATATCGATTAGATTGAACTATTTGTCGCTTAATATTTCAAAAATTAATAAATGAAATCCCTTTTTATCAGATTGAATCGAAGCCAAAGATTTAAATGATTTATTATTTTCTTCTCTGATGGAAAAAGACATAAGATGATTCAAAGAGCAATTTATTGATAACGTAAATAATTTAGAAAAAAGTTTTATATAAAATAAAGTAATATTCTCTTATAATATTGTAATTCAATTGCTATTTAATTTATTATTATTATAGCAATATTAAATGTATATTCATAAAATATGAAGTGAGATGTCATAGAACAATAAAAAGAATGATTATAATATTCGATAATTAACAATAAAACGAACTCGATCATTATTATTTAATAATTATTTCATACATACATCTTTCTCTCTTTTCCCTTACTTTAAATATATTATTATTTATATATTACATATTTATATTATTTTATATTTTGTATTATACATTTTTTATTCTTCATTTTACTAAGTCGAAATTATATATCTTTAATACACAATAATGTTTTCATATCATATTTTTCGAATTTATTTATTTAAATTATACAAGATACTTTTTCTACATCTTTTCTTGAAATTATTAAAGTTTTCTTACATTAATAAACTTGAAGTTTTATTAATGTAAAGATATTATTATTGATGAAAATTTCTTTGTTAATAAAAAAAATTGCTCATTTTTAGTTATTTCAAGTTACTCGATATTTACAAACTTTAATATATCTTTTACATTTATTACATACAATTTCTATTTCTTAATTATGAATAATGCACGTTAATATAATTCGAAACAAAGAATTATCCAGTTTTTCTGTGTAACAAAGAATGAAATATAAGTATAATTGACATTTAAGAAGCTTAATAAATTCTGATTCATTCATGACTTAGAATTAAATCTTCGAATGATACATTCTTTGTTACCTTAATATTATTATTGAGTTTTATTATAATTACAAGAAACTATAATTTTTTAAAAAATTAAATATTACATAATAAAATTAAATATAATATAATATAATAGAATAAAAATTTAATATAATAACATCGCTAAATCTATTATCGATTGAATTTTTTCAATTAATCTTTTCCTATTTATTTAAAATTTTCATTTCGATTTATTCTTAAGCCACTTATTTATTACACAATTGAAATATCGTTTCTCTCATTGCAACTTAATGAAAATATACACAATAATCTTCTCCGTGGAGTATTAATATCCATTAAAAATTATCCTCTGTTTACTGCTTCCAAACTTTTATTTAAAAAAAATTTCCTTATAATTTTTCAAGTATATTGAATAATTATTATGCAAAATGATGTCGTAATGATTTAACGAAATCGGTTGGAAGTCGGTAGAATTCCATTCGAAATCAGATCATACGGTAAAATCTCGTTTCACGCTCCGTAATTATGCTTCATAATCGTCCCATGCATTAACGTTATAATTAGACGTTAAAACGAGCTCGTCGAATTGACGGTGCCTCCGAATTGAACGA